ATATATATATGTATATGTGTATATATATATATATATATGTGTGTGTGTGTATATTCATGTTGTGTGTGAGTGTGTGTGTGTGTGTACATGCGTATGATATCAAGGGACCTGCAACGAGGGTGCGATTTGTTGACCCTGGTGACAAGTAGTGTGCATGTTTGCATCTACTTGAAAAATGCCTGGCTGCATTGCTGCTGTTTATTAAAAAATTGCAGCTACTTTTCAATTGTCTCAAACTTCATCGAAATAGGAAATAATGTGTACTTCTCCAGCAATGCGGATTCTGGCAAGTGGATGTTTTACCCTTGGGACTACGATAAAATTTTGCGACGAGTAAGTTGAACGATTTCCTCATTGAGTTTCTTATGCATTTATTGGGATGCATGCGATTTGAATATATTTAAAGCTTGGTGTAGAATGTTCGAGTACCGCTCTATGATGAGCATCACTTGAGCTTTCGACTTGTGTGGAACTGATTTAAATACAGTTATGCTACCGTGGGTTGGGTGCAATCACTACTTCGCAAAATTGTCAAATTCGATTCAGTGCATGTGCGCTTCTGACTATTCAATCTAATCTTGCATGCCTGGGGCTTCTTGCGCCATCAATATCATACCAAGCCGTTTGCATTTCAGTCCCCAATCCGCACCGGCACAACATTCCTGCAGCATACCTTTTGTCTCATTGTCCAATGAATCCGTGATCTTTCTCAGGCGAGTAAGCACAATAAGGTGTCTGTTGGTATGAGCGTAATGCATGACAACTACCTCTTTCGTCGCATTATGTACCTGATGCCCAAGGACTTTACCAGCAAGGTGACTCAGCGCATTAAAGCTCTGATTGCCGAGAGCGCTCCCTGGAGCAAAGAAGCGTTAGAAGAGATGACTGACGGCTACAGCAAATCCGTCGATCCCTACCTGGCCAGCGGTAAGGTAGATAATGTGAAATTGAACAAGAAATAATGGAGCTCACAGAAAGCACACTTCTTCCAGTGTTTCGAGGAGAACCCCAAGTTCTGGGAGGAGATGCTGGAGGTGCCCACGTCTGTGTACTGGTCAAATACCAAACCCAATAATTTGGGCGATGGCCAGTACAAGTACAGGATCAGATCTGTCCAGTCGCCCGATGGGATAGATGTCGTGCACCGTGCCACTATCTTCACGGAAGGACCGGGCACCAACAACTCAGAGTGCTACGCTGAGCCTGAGAGCGTGTTGTTCAATTCTGATTGGATTGAACTGCCCCCGAATAATGGAGTTTCAGAAGAGTTCATCTTCACTGTACCCCAAGATGTGCGAGACAAGTGTGGCCGTGATGAGGGTTGCTATATCAATGTGGTGGGCAAGGATAGCGAAGGGAATGTCGGCTACTACGGAAAGATGGGTCAGGCGTTCATAGTATAAACAAATTTACTAGAGTAAAGTATAAATACCATAGAAAAACATTAAGCCATATCACCATATAGGACGCTAGCGCCTTACTTTAATAGGGTCACTGTTTCAAACTTCTGACTGCACTTTGCGCAAGAGGTGACTGGAGCATACCAACCCATGTGAGAGCACCTCCTTGTGTGGTTCATGGCTTATGAACATAGGTATTGTGCCCCGCCGCTCAATAATCAGAGATGCTAGTATTGTCTATTTCGCCAATAAACACAGCACAACCGCGCATCGGTGGCTCTAGCTGCGCTTTATTAGAGTTGCAAAAATTATGTTAAAAAAATGGCACAGATACATTTCGTCCCGTTACTGGACTGAACAACTGTTTTGTAAATACCACAAAAGTTCACGGCACCTGCACCAATAAAATCAATTGTGAGGTGCAACCTGTTGCTGCGTGTACATATAGTTTAGAGGTGTAGCCTGTTGCTATGGGTACATATAGTGTAGAGGTGTAACCTGTTGCTGTGTGTACATATAGTGTAGAGGTGTAACCTGTTGCTGTGTGTACATATAGTGTTAAGATGTATCCCGTTGCTGTGTGTACATATAGTGTAGAAGTGTAGCCCGTTGCTATAGGTACATATAATGTAGAGATGTAACCCGTTGCTATGTGTACATATAGTGTAGAGGTGTAACCTATTGCTGTGTGTACATATAGTGTAGAGGTGTATCCTGTTGCTGTGTGTACATATAGTGTAGAGGTGTAACCTGTTGCTGTGTTCACATATAGTGTAGAGATATAACCCGTTGCTGTGTGTACATATAGTGTAGGGGTGTAATCTGTTGCTGTGTGTACATATAATGTAGAGGTGTAACATGTTGCTGTGTGTACATATAGTGTAGAGATGTATGCCGTTGCTGTGTGTACATATAGTGTAGAGATGTAAACCGTTGCTATGTGTACATATAATGTAGAGATGTAACCTTTTGCTGTGCGC